ACACTCATACACACACACACACTCACACACACGCACACACACACACTCACACTTACACACACACACACACACACACTCACACACACACACACACACTCACACTTACACACACACACTCACACACACTCACACACACACACACACTCACACACACACACTCACACACTCACACACACACTCACACACACACACTTACACACACACACTCACACACTCACACACACACACAGACACACACTCACACACACACTCGCACACACTCACACACACACTCACACACACACACTCACACACGCACTCACACACACACACGCACACACTCACATACACACACACACTCACACACACACTCACACACACACACACACACACACACACACCCTCTGCACTCGCCTGTCCCCCTTTAACCGCTATCCTGGCAGCCCCACTTGGCCAGCCCCCTCCTCACCAGCGTTCCCTCCTGAAAACAGGAAGAGGCTGTTGTCCATCATGGCTATTGTTTTGGGGGGCTCACTCCATGCCAGGCACAACCTCCTTTAATCCTCACCGCCACCCTCTGAGGGTGGACACTCTTAGGCCCCATTTATAGATAAGGAAACTGGAGGTTCAGAGAGGCCAGGCCACTACCCCACCGTCACGATGCTCCTACAGCTCCCCGTCCTCCCGCATGTCTTCCTTCAGTGCCCAGGCGAGCTCCCACCTCGGGACCTTTGCATGGCAGTCCCTTCCACTTGGACACATGTCCACAAGAAGCCTACGTGGCCTTTCCCCGCTTCCTCTGCTCTAACGTCACCTTTTCAGAGAGGCCCTCTGACCACTTGCTCTAAAGTAACAGCATCCCCTGCCACCAGACCGACCGTGAGAGGGCGGGCACCGGGGAGGGGAGCTGTTCACTTAAGTGTTTGCACCTGGCTTAAAATGTCTACCTCCATTAAAACTTTTATTTTACCAAGTGATCTTCAAGCACCTCCCCCCTCTAGCTCCTTTCCTTGCTTCCTTTTTCTTATCGTCTCCTATTTGCTTATTATCTCATCCAGCAAAAAACTCCATGGGGCGGGGCTCTGCTTGTTCACTGCTCTATCCCCAGTGCCTGGTACAGTGCCTGACCATAGCAGGTGCTCAAAAAATGCTCAGTGTGCAAATAGAATTAAAGTGAGTGAGCCAGGTCCCTCAAACCCATGTCTGTCTGAAATGTGGCTAGTTAAACACACACAAAGGACTAGCACAGATTTATATATTGATTTCAGAGAGGGAGAGATAGAAACATCAGTGATGAGAGAATCATTGATCAGCTGCCTCCTGCACACCCCACACTGGGATGGAGCCCACAATCCAGGCATGTGTCCTGACCAGGAATCGAACCCTGACCTCCTGGTTCAGAGGTCGACACTCCACCACTGAGCCACGTCAGCCAGGGAAGGGAGGGCACAATTTCCCAGTACCTCCTGGACGTAGGACAGCTGAGGTGGGGTCATCTTTGTGTTTGCATTCTAACCCCCCTGAGAAGACCAATTGGAGGGCGGAGAGGAGGTTGGTTCACAGGCTATGGCTTCAGTTATTCCAGGCCATTCTACAGCTGCCCATTCTCTGGTCCAGCTTTGAACTTTGCAAGAAGTTTTGCAGGAAGAGCATCTAGATCAAGAGAACTTTTTTAAAAAATATATATTTTATTAATTTTTTACAGAGAGGAAGGGAGAGAAATACAGAGTTAGAAACATCGATCAGCCGCCTCCTGCACACCCCCTACTGGGGATGTGCCCGCAACCCAGGTATATGCCCTTGACCGGAATCGAACCCGGGACCTTTCAGTCCGCAGGCTGACGCTCTAGCCACTGAGCCAAACCGGTTTCGGCAAGAGAACTTTTTTAAAACAGTGGGCAGATGATGATAAGACTGGCAAAAATCGGAATACTTGACCACAGTGCCTGGGAGGCTGCCCTCTCTCATATTCCATGGGTTTGAGACATACCCTGGTGCTTCCTGGCTGTGTGACCCTGTACAGGTGGCTTAACCTCTCTGTGCCTCATTTTCTCCTCTGGAAAATGGGCATATTAATAGTACCTGCTTCATAGTTTTATTTATTTATTATATTATTACTTTTTATTTTGAGATAAGACTTACACACCCAGCCAGCATGGCTCAGTGGTTGAACACTGACCTATGAACCAGGAGGTCATGGCTCAATTCCCGGTTAGGGCATATGCCCGGGTTGCAGGCTCGATCCCCAGTAGGGGGTGTGCAGGGGGCAGCTGATCAATGATTCTCTCTCATCATTGATGTTTCTGTCTCTCCCTCTCCCTTCCTCTCTGAAATCAATTTAAAAAATGTTTTTATGTCTTACAGAAAAGGTGCAAAATAGCATAAAGAGTTCTAATATACCCTCACCCAGTTACCCCTACTGTTAACATCTTACATAACCATAGTAAATTTATTAAAACTAAGAAATTAACCTTGGCACGGTACTATTAATAAACTACAGACTTGCCCTAGCTGGTTTGGCCCAGTGGCTAGAGCAGCGGCCTGCTGACTGTGGGTCCCAGGTTCGATTCTGGTCAAGGGCATATGCCCACCTTGTGAGCTTAATCCCCAGTAGGGGGTGCGCAGGAGGCAGCTGATCAGTGATTCTCTCTCATTGATGTTTCTCTTTCTCCTTCTCCCTTCCTCTCTGAAATCAATAAAAATATACTAAATAAAATAAAATAAAAAATAAATAAACTACAGACTTGATTCAGATTTCTTGTTTTCCTATTCACGTTCTCTTTCTGTTTAGGATGCAATCCAAGGTCCCTCATCATGTCTCCTTAGACTCCTCCAGTCTGTGACAGTCCCGCAATCTCTCATGACCTTGACACTTCTGTGAAGTACTGGTCAGTAATGGTGTACATTGTCTCTCAATTTGGTTTGTCTTGATTAGGTTGAGGTTTTGGTATTACTGGGAAGGATACCAGGATACCAGAGAGGTGATGTTCTCGTGAGGGGGGGTGGGGGGTTATGATGTTACTATGACTCATCGCTGGTGATGTTACCCTCGGTCCCTTTGATAGGTGGTGTCTGCCAGGATCCTCCACAGTGAAGCTGCTGTTTTCCCTAGGGTTGTTTTGAGGACTGCGTGTTAAAGAGTCTACATAGTTTACACATACCATTGTGCTCTCTGTTAATACAAAAAAATATGTAAATGCTTGTGTTTGTACTTCTGCAAAGTAAATAACATGGCTCTGTGGTTGAGCGTTGACCTATGAACTGGGAGGTCCCTGTTCAATTCCCGGTCAGGGCATATGCCCAGGTTATGGGCTTCCCGTGTGGGGCATGCGGGAGGCGGCCGATGGGTGATTCTGTCTCATCACTGATGTTTCTCTCTCTCTCTCTTTCTCTCCCTTCCTCTATGAAATCAATAAAAACATATTTAAAAAGGAAAAGAAAACAAGAGCTGTAACTGCCTCAAGAGGGTAATGGGCACTGGGAGCTCTGAAGCCAGGTTTTCAGATCAGCCGCCCCATCACTGCCCACATGTGCCCTCACCCACGTCCCAGCTGAGCAGAGCTAACTGTGCAACTTAGCGAGGGGTGCCCAGGAGAGGGCAGTAGTGTCCTCAGCAGCTGTCCAAAGGGCTATCAACGTGCTGGGGAGGGGGTGTGCCAGCCATCCTGGACCAGTAGCTGATTGGCTGCAGCGCTTCTCAGATCGGCCAATCACAGGAATCTTGATGGTCAGATCTGCTGTGGTTGCAGAGTCTGTGAAGCATCCCAAGGGTGGCTGCGTCTCCTTGTCAGCACCCTGCGTCATGGAGGCCAAGGGACTGCAGAAATGGCTTTATGGGGGAAATAACCATCCTCGCCTGGAGCCATTTCCAAGGCCCCATTTTATGCGATAACCCACTCAGGTTATTAACAGCTTATTTTGGGAGCCCAGGAGCCCCCCTCCAATCTAACCTTATCTTTTTTTAGGAGACTTAAAAAATTGTAGTAAAATATATAACATAAAATTTACCATTTTAAATGTATAGGTTTGTGCCCGACCAGCATGGCTCAGTGGATAGAGCATCAGCCTGCAGACTGAAGGGTCCCAGGTTCGATTCCAGTCAAGGGCACATGCCTGGGTTGCAGGCTCAATCCCCAGTGTAGGGTGTGCAGGAGGCAGCCAATCAATGATTCTCTCTCTTCATTGATGTTTCTATCTCTCTCTCCCTTCCCCTTCCTCTCTGAAATCAATAAAAATATATTTTTTTAAAAAAAGAAAAAAAAACTACTCAAAAATCTATCTATATATATAAAAGCCTAAGCGACCGTTATGGCAAAACAACTGGAATGACCAGTCACTATGATGTGCACTAACCACCAGGGGGCAGATGCTCAACGCAGGAGCTGCCCCCTGGTGGTCAGTGCGCTCCCACAGGGGAGTGCCGCTCAGCCAGAAGCCGGGCTCACGGCTGGTGAGCGCAGCTGCCACGGTGTTGGAAGCCTTTCCTGATGCCCCAGCAGCCCTACTGAGTGGTGGCAGCAGGCACAACGGGCCAGGATGAGCGTGAGTGGTGCAGCGCCCGGCCCCAATTCAGGCTCCTCCCTGACTGCCTGCTGCTTGGCTCACTACTACATCCCCCGAGGGGTCCTGGACTGTGAGAGGGATGTCTGACTGCCGGCTTAGGCCCGATCCCCTGAGGGGTCCCTAAGCCAGTAGTCGGACATCCCCTGAGGGGTCACGGACTGCGAGAGGGCGTAGGCCGGGCTGAGGAACCTCCCCCAGTGCACGAATTTCGTGCACCGGGACTCTAGTAAATAAAATATTTATTTATGGTATGAAGTACAATTATGTTGTTGTATACCACCATCCACCTCCAGGACTTTTTTCATCCTTTAAGGCCAAAACTGTCACTATTAAACACTAATTCCCCATCCCCTCTCCCTCAATCCCTGGCACCCACCATTCTATTTTGTTTGTCTGATAATTTGACTACTCTAGGGTCCTCATGTAAGTATAATCATACAGTATTTGTCCTTCTGTGATTGGTTTATTCACAAAATGATAGAATTTCCTTCCTTTCTAAGGCTGAATAACATTCCATTGTATGTACATACCACATTTTGTGTGTTAGTTCATCTGTCAATAGACACTTGAGTTGCTTTTACAATTGTGAATTATGCTGCTGTGAATATGGTGGGTAACTATCTGATTGAGTCCCTGCTTTCAGTTTTTCTGGGTAAATAGTCAGAAATGGAATTGCTGAATCATATGGTAGCTCTATTTCTATTTTCATTTTTTTGAGAAGCCACTATACTGTTTTACATGGTGGCTGCACCATTTTACATTTTCACCAACAGTATACAAGAGTTCCACTTTCTTCACAACCTCATTAGCACTTGTTAGGTTTTGTTTGTTTTTTATAATTGCCATCCTAATGGGTGTGAAGTATTTAAATAGGCTTTTAAAGTATATCATGCATACAGAAAAGTATACAAATTACAGATCAGTGAATCAATTATCACTTTTTAAAACTTTTAAGTTGAGATATTAAAGTGAATCAATTATCACTTTTTAAAGCTTTTAAGTTGAGATATTAAAGTAAAATGCACAACTATTAATAGATAGCTCAATGAATTTTTACATATATATGCACATGTAATTGCCACACAGCTCAAGCTATAAAACATTTATTTTTTTAAAAACTCCTATTCTATTAATATCAACCATCTTGTTAATCACATGTAGCATTTTACATTTCTTTTCGAATATATTTTTACTGAGAGGAAGGGAGAGGAAGAGAGAGATAGAAACATCATTGATGAGAATCATTGATCGGCTGCTTCCTGCATACCCTGACAGGGGATGGAGCCCACAGTCAGGGCATGTGCCCCGACCTGGAACTGAACTGTGACCTCCTGGTTCATAGGTCAAAGCTTGACCACTGAGCTACACCAGCTGGGCACATTTTACATGTTTACTTCATGAATTTGAAAACAAATTCTAAGCACTTGAAGAACTTACATTTATTTTCCTGTTTCAAGTTAATTTTATTTTATTTTTTTTTATTTTTTAAATATATTTTATTGATTTTTTACAGAGAGGAAGAGAGAGGGATAGAGAGTTAGAAACATCGATGAGAGAGAAACATCGACCAGCTGCCTCCTGCACATCTCCTACTGGGGGTGTGCCCACAACCAACGTACATGCCCTTGACCGGAATCGAACCCGGGACCTTTCAGTCCGCAGGCCGACGCTCTATCCACTGAGCCAAACCGGTTTCGGCTCAAGTTAATTTTATATTTCCGTTTGGATCTAGCATAAAACCCGTATTTGTTTTAAAATATGTATAAATATTTGTTGAATTAATGAATGTATTTTGATGTTTTGTTTGAGAAGGCAGGATGACAGAAGACATAAAGAAAATCCCTAAATTAATACACAGAACACAGAGAATCAAGCACTACACAAAAGGGACTAAAAAATGTTATTAATTACAGAAAGTACTATGTTCAATGTTAAAAAGTAGATTAAGGTTAACAAGATGACAAACAGTTTTACCGTTGCACTTAAGTTTTTATAAGCTACAAATAGTTGTAAAATATTTCTATTGAACTTGGGTCTTTGTCTGCCCCACTAGAATGCCAGCTACCCAAGGTCAGGAATCTTTTTGTGCTCACTGCTGTTTCTCCAGGGTTAGAACAGTGACTGGTACAAAGGAGGCACTCAATAAATGCTTGCTGAGCCCTACCTGGTTTTGCTCAGTGGATAGAGCGTTGGCCTGCAGACTGAAGGGTCCCAGGTTCAATTCTGGTCAAGGGCACATGCCCAGCTTGCAGGCTCAATCCCCAGTAGGGGGTGTGCAGGAGGCAGCCAATCAATGATTCTCTCTCATCATAGATGTTTCTATCTCTCTCTTCCTTTTCCTTCCTCTCTGAAACCAATAAGAAAATATTTTTTAAAAATATGCTTGTTGAGTGAATATGAGCCTTCTGGTTGTGGGATGGGCACAGCCTCAGGCTCCTCTGCACAACCTCCACCACTTTGGGCCTGAGTCCAAGTCTGCAGCAGGGTTTAGGGAGCTCTTCCACATCTCTTCAATCCCTTCCCACCGGCTCTGGGACGTGAGGCTCCCCCACCTCACGTCCTGGACAGCGTGACACGGTACATCCATAGAATGTTGAGGATGTCCAGGTCCAGCAGAGCCAAAGTCACTATAGACTTTTTTTTTTAAAATATATTTTATTGATTTTTTACAGAGAAGAAGGGAGAGGGATAGAGAGCCAGAAACATCGATGAGAGAGAAACATTGATAAGCTGCCTCCTGCACGCCCCCCAGTGGGGATGTGCCCACAACCAAGGTACATGCCCTTGACCGGAATCGAACCTGGGACCCTTCAGTCCACAGGCCAACGCTCTATCCACTGAGCCAAACTGGTTCGGCAGTCACTATAGACTTTAAAACAGCGTCACAGTGATGCCAGCTGTACAACTACAACCATGGGCACACCACTCAGTAAGGCCACTAACAAGTTTCAGGGGCAGCTTGCTTACTCAACAACCAATTTTGGAGCGGAGAGTGGGAGTCAGGGTGAGGGAGGAAAAGGAGAATTGCAGGAAGACGCTCACATGTCTCCAGACCCAAGTACCCAAAATTGGCAAAGGGCTGAGAGCAGACACAAACTGGCATAGAGGTCTTCAGGTGGTAGTGCAGCCTACCCTGGGACTGGGGAAAGATTGGAGGGGGGAGGCAAAGGTAGGGTAATTAGTCAGGTGTGTGGAAGGCAGTCACATGAGGCCGTCACAAGGGACAGTTCCTAGGGTTTAAATATTGGGATGAGCATCAGGAACATTCATTCATTCATCCATTCATTCATTCATTTTGTAACTAACATCTATTGAGCACCTACCAGGCCCAGTCCCCAATGCTAGGGACAATATATACAACAAACAAAATCTTCCTCTCCTCATGGAGCTAATATTAACAGCGCACAGGAGATGTTCAATACATGGTGAGGAGGGGGAGAGAGGTAGCGTCCCAGGGATCTGAGGGAGGTGGTGAAAGCTAAAGAGAAACTGTATGTTAACCCAGGAACAAATGATGTCCTAGGTGCAGTGGATCAGCACCAGGTGCAGAGGGAGGTGGGCAGGGGATTGAGTGAATGTGACCCAGGGCCCACCCAGCTGGACCCCATCTACCATGGAGCAGGTTACCAGAGGCATCAGGCACAGTCTGTGGGTCAAAGGGAGCATGGAGCCCACTGACCACCCCCACACTCTGGACCGCCCTGTACAGGGTAGCTGGGGGCCTGGCATGGAGGGGTTCCTTACTCACCTGAAGACCTTCAGCAGTGTCCACCCCCTCCCCGTTGTTACCGGCTCCCCGCCCCCACAGGAGCTCAGAGGAGGGGTGAGAGTGAAGTGGGGAATATCCACCTGGGCCCAGCTGACTCATGGAGTGAGGCTGATGTTTAGTCTCCACGGAGAGCAGGTGGTACCGCCCGAGGGCGCTGATGGCCGGCGAGAGGAGGATGGCCAGGCACCAGGAGAGGGAGGTGGGGTCTGAATGAGGGCAGAGGGGCTACCCCGCCCCCGCACTACCTGGAAGCCTAGGCGTGAGTGCAAGGCGCTCCGAGGCTGTGGAGCCCGCGCTGGATGAGCGCCCAGAAGCGGGCACAAGACGAAGTCAGGAGGCAGGACCGCGGGAGGGGGCACCACAGGGACCAGCAGGGAGCGTCATTGCTCTGTAGCCATGTCCCCGCCCCAGGTACCTCCTCTGTCCGACTGCCCAGCTCCTGCAGCCGTCGGGGTGGATGCCAGCTGCACCCTCTCTGATGTCGCCATGCCCGGAGGCAAAGGAATGATCCCGGGATCATGCACCTGCCGCGCAGAAGGGAAAGGTACGAATCCAGGGACCCGGACACTGCATTTCTCACGCTGGGAGGACGTCCACCTTTACTATTTCATTCCCACCTGGATCAACAGGCTCCCGGCCCAGGGACGACCCCGTCGCTCCTCCCCGGGCCATTCTCAACCCCCAGGTCGGGGATGCGGTTTACCTTAAACGGAACAGGGGCTGGCTTATTATGAGACAGTGCCCATGTCGTCCTCCCTTCCTATTGGTGCTCCTCCCTTCGGGGCGGGACCTCTCTAAACACGCGTTCTTGATTGGCTGTCTTCCTGGCGGCCCGTGACCCGGAAACTCTCTGGGCAACATGGCGGCGCCCAGCGGCCAGATGGCAGTGGCTCAGAGTCGGCGGCCGCCCGCGTTCGTAGGTCGGTTGTGGGTGGGGAGGCGAGCGCGAGCTGCGGGGCTCCGGAGCGGCCCGTTCTGGGCCGACGGCGCGGGAGGGCGGCTCCAGCGGGACCCGGCTGCTGGGCCAGGGCACCGTGACCTCTGCGGGGCGGGCGGGCGGAGACGCGCCGGGGAAGGCCGCTCTCCGTGCGCTGCCTTCTCACGACTTGAATCTTACGTTTTGCAGATGAGACAGCCGAGGCTCCGAGAGGGTGAGGCTGTCTCCAGCGCGCACGCCGCAGGTGGGCCGCTCGGCCGGAACTGGAGCCCGCGTGCGCCTGTGTCTCCCAGCGACCCCGGGCTCCCGGCGGCCCGCCGCACAGCTGCTGTAGGTACACCCCGCCACGGGCTTCAGGTTTATAGGTTAGAGAGTTTGTGGAAACTTGGTTCTGTCCATTCCGGTGGCCTTGTTAGGCACCTGCCGTAGACCAGGTGTTGTCCCTGGTGCTGGAGCCGCAGCAATGAGGAAGGCAGGACAAATCCTCCATCTCCTGGGGGGCGAGGGTGGGGAGGAGCCAGACCTGGCACAAGTCGCAAATAAAAATGAACGGGTGGTTTCCGATGCCAGTAGTTGCTAAAAATGCATTCATCGGGGTGCGGGGGCTTCGAACAGGGAGTGAGGCTGCTGTCAGGAAAGGCCTTTCTTTCCTTAGAACATAGGCCTGAATGAATGACCGGAGCGAGCTGTGGCTGATCTGGGGAAGAAATGTCCAAACAGAAGGAAACGCAAGCGCGAAGGTTCTGAGACCAGGATACATTTATCTTGTTTAAGAAACAGTGTAGCTGGGGTTGTAAGAGTTGAGTTTGGAGGAGTAGTCCCTGTCTGATTTTATCTTACGCGTGATGTATCATTAATTTTAGGCAGAGAACACTGAATTCAGTTCACGTTTTGTTTACTTTTTATTTTTTTAATAGTTTTTATTGCTTTCAGAGAGGAAGGGAGAAGGATATAGAAACATCAGTGATGAGAGAGAATCATTGATCTGCTGCCTCCTGCTCGCCCCACACTGGAGATCGAGCCCACAACCCGGGCATGTGCCCTGAGAATCGAACTGTGACCTCCTTGTTCACAGGTCAACACTCAGCCACTGAGCTACCCTGGCCAGGCTAGTTCACATTTTTTAAAGCTCCCTATGGTCAAGGTGGGGAGAACTGACTGGAGGTGCATAAGGGAAGACGGAGGCTGGGAGAGAGGTCGTTGGGGTGTTGGCCTGCAGATGGAGGGAAATGTATGCACTTGGGGTCGGTGTGGAAGTAGTCACCAGGATTACCTAATGGATTAAATGGGGGCATGAGGGACACAGTGGATTCAGCAGTGACTCCTAGGTTTTAGGCCTGAATGACTAGGAATTGGTGGTGTCATTGGCCAGGAATGGGGAGGAAACAAGTTTAAGTAGGGATATCAGTTTGGCGCAAATTAAGTTTGAGACAGCTGGGTATATGCCAAAGTGGCAGTTCGGTACTAGGCGATAACATTTGGATCCATCAGCACGTAGGTCATCATTTCTCAGACTTTAACACACATAGAAGAAACCTGGACACTGGTTAAATGCAGATTCTGATTCAGTAGGTCTGGGTTAGGGCTGAGATTCTGCATTTCTAGTAAACTCCCAGATGATGATACCAATGCAGCTGATCCCTGAAACACACTTTGAGTGGCCAATGTGTATATTAGGGTCTTGCCCTAGCTGGTTTTACTCAGTGGATAGAGCGTCGGCCTGAAGGGTCCTGGGTTCGATTCTGGTCAAGGGCATGTGCCCGGATTGTGGGCTCGATCCCCAGTGTGGGGCTTGCAGGAGGCAACTGATCAATGATTCTCTCTCATCATTGATGTTTCTATTTCTCTCTCCCTCTCCCTTCCTCTCTGAAATCAATAAAAAAAATATTTAATAAAATAAAATAATAAATTAGGGTCTTAATCTTAGCTGCGTGTGAGAGTCATTGGAGTGTGCTAAAATGCTGGTGCCTAGGCCCTGCCTCTAGGTATTCTGATTTAATATATCTGGGCATGGGAATTTTTAAAAGCTTCCTAGATGACTCTAATGTGAACAAAGTTTGAGAACCATTAGAGCTGCCTACAGGAATACAAAGGCGAGGAGAGAAGCAAGCTGAATGACACCTCAGGGTAGTAGACAGACAAATCCGGAATGTGGGATTCTGCAGCCCGGTTACTCAAAGTGTGGTCTCCAGACCGGCAGCACCAGGATCTCTGGGGAAGCTTGTTAGATAAGCAGCCGAGTCTGGCTCCACCCCAGAGCTGCTGATTCAGAATCTGCCTTTTAACAAGGTCCCAGTAATTTGTCTGTCCAGTCAAGTTTTCAGACATGGCAAACTTTAGAGAAGGAAGTGGGTCTTGCTGACTAAGTGAGAAGCAGGCCTGGGTGCTAGGAAGAAAATCAACAGTGTCAAGCAGGTGGGAGGAGGGTCTCACCAGTGCCACATGCTTCTGGGATGTCATCACTGGCTTTGGTGAGTATAAACCATCAAGGGTGGGGTTAGTGGAGTGGTGGGGGCAGCAGCCAGGTTGGAATAAGTGGAGTATAGTATATAGACACCTCTCAGGATAAAACTTTTTTGTAAAGGGAGCAGAGATGTGAAACAGAGGCTGGAGGGAGACTTCAGGTCAAGATGGGTGATGCTAGAGAAAATTTAATGCTGAGGAGGATCTAATACTTCCCAGTTCATTTTATGGGGCCAGCATTACCTGATACCAAACCAAACAAGCACGAAAAGAAAACTACAGACCAGTATTTTTTATGAATATGGACACAAAAATCCTCAACAGAATACTAACAAACCAAATTTTAGTAACATATAAAAAGGATTATATATATGGAATTTATCCCAGAAATGCAAGGTTAATTTAAAATCTGAAAATCAGTTAATGTATAAAAGACAAAAGTCACACGATTATTTTAATAGATGCAACAAAAAGCATTTGACAAAATCCAATACCCTTTCTGATAATAACACTCAATATTTCCTCAACCTGATAAAGGACGTCTATGAAAAACCCACAGCTCACATTGATGAAAGACTGGATGCTTTTCCCCTAAAATCAAGAGAAGCACATGGAAGCGGCTCTTGCCACTTCTATTCATCATTGTACTGAAGGTTCCAGCAAGGGCACTTGGGCAGGAAAAGGAAATAAAAGACATCCAGATTAGAAAGAAAGAAGTAAATCTATTTCTATTTTCAGAAGACATGATATTGTATATAGAAAATCCTAAGGAATCCAATAGAAAGCTATTAGAGCTAATAAGTGAGTTGTGCAAAGTTGCAGTATACAAGATCAAAGTAAAAGTAAATTTTATTTCCCCCTAGTTGGTTTTGCCTAGTATTTAGAGCATCAGCCCTTGGAGTGAAGAGTTTCAGGTTTGATTCCGATCAAAGGCATGAACCACAGTTGCAGGCTTGATACTGGGCTCTGGTCTGGGAGTGTGCAGGAGGCAACCACTCCATGTGTCTCTCACACAGATGTCTCTCTCTCTCTCTCCCCCTCCCTTCCACTCTCTAAAAATCAATGGTAAAAAATATCTTCAGGTGAGGATTAACAAAAATAAATAAATTCTATTTCTATATACTAGCAATGAACAGTACAGAAACAATTAAGCCCAGCCGGTGTGACTTAGAGGTTGAGTGGTAACCTGTGAACCAAGAGGTCACTGGTTCCAATCTAGTCAGGACCGGTGTGCAGGAGGCAGCTGATGTGTCACTCTCGCATCCATAGTTTTCTAAAATTAAAAAAATACATAGTTTTCTAAAATTAAAAAAATACATATTTTAAAAAAATGAATGAAATACAAATAAATTTAACAAAAGAAAAAAAAGACTGAAAACTATAAAACATTGTTGAAATTAAAAATAAATAAATAAATAAATAAATGGAGACATAGCCCATGTGTGTGGATCAGGAGACTTCACATTATTATTAAGATACAATAGTCCCCAAATTAATCTACAGAGTCAGTACACCCCTATCAGAATCCCTGAGTTAGAAAACTATAATAACCAAAACTGTGTAGTACTGGTATAAGGTTCAACATGGATCAATGGAATAGAATTGAGAGCCCAGAAATAAACCCTTACATTTATGGTCAATTGATTTTCACCAAGAGTGCTAAGACAATAAAATGAAGAAAAAATAGTCTCTTCAGCAAACAGGCCTAGGACAACTGGATATCCACATGAAGTGAACCCCTTTGTCACACAATACACACAAATTCAAAGTGGATCATAGACCTAAATGTAAGAGCTAAAAGTCTTAGAAGAAAGAGAGAGGTAAATCTTTATAACCTTGGGCTCGGCATGTTTTTTTAGATACAACATCAAAAGCAGAGCTATAAAAGAAAAATGTTATTGGACTTCATCACAATTTAAAACTTGTGCTGCAATGATAACAAGTGCAAAGAAAACCCAAAGAATGGGAGAAATTATTTTTAAATCATAAGGGTCTGTTATCCAGGATATATAAAGAACTCTTACAACTCAATAATGAAAAAAGAGAACCCATTTTTTAGCAAAGATACACAATGGCCAATAAGCACATGAAAAGATGCTCAACATCATTAATCATTAGGGAAATGCAAATCCAAACCCCAAGGAGCTACCACTTCACACTCAGCAGGATGTCTAGTCAAAAAGACAGACAGTCAGTGTTGGCAAGGACGTGAAGACATTGGGACCCTTACACAGTGCTGGTGGGAATGTAAGATGGAGCTACTTTGGAAAAGTTTCAGAGTCTCCTCAAAATGTTAAATAGAGTTACCATATATCCCAGCAATATGACTTCTAAGTGTAGACCCAAGAGAAGTGTAAACACATGTTCACACAAAAGCTTCTACATGGGTGTTCATAGCAGCATTCGTTAGAGTAAAAGAGTGGGAACAACCCAAATGCCCAGCCGTTGATGAAGGGATAAATAAAACATCTAGACAATGGACATTTTTTGGTAACTAAAAGGGATGAAGTCGGATACATGTTACAACATGGATGAACCTTGGACACATGCTAAATGAAAGGTGCTAGCCACAAAAGAACATACGTATATCGTATGATTCCATTTATATGACATGCCCAGAGTAGGCACATTTATAGAGATGGTAGATTATTGGTTGTCTAGGGTTGAGGATGAAAGGAAATCAGAGTGATGGTTAATGTTTTTGTTTTCAGGGTGACAAAAATGTTCTAAAATTACAGTGCTGGTTGCACAACTCTGAATATACTAAAAAAAAAAAAAGATTGAACTTTATACTTTTTTAAAAATTAAAACTTTACTATTGAAAGTTTTACATATGTTCCCCTTTTCCCCCTGGAACTTTATATTTTAAAAGGTTGGACTGTATGGTATGGGACTAAAGTTAAGAAATGACCTCATAGGGCCTTTTCCTAGATGGCTCAGTTGGTTTAAGCACTGTCCAGTACACCAAAGGTTGTGGGTTCGATTCTGGTCAGGGCACATACCTAGATAGCAGGTTCGATCCCCAGTTGGGACATGTACAAGAGGCAACCGATTAATGTTTCTCCTACATCAATGTTTTTCTCCCTCTCTCTCTAAAATCAATAAAAACATATCCTCTGAAGAGGATTAAAAAAAAAAAAAAGACCTGGGAGGGAGGGTGGGGAACCATTGCAGCAAATTTCTCTAGATAGTGAAGCAAGGACCCTTGATTGTAACAGTCATTTAAGCTCCATCCTGTGGATGAGGAAGCAGTGGGGCTGGTGAGTTAGCTGTGCAGTCTGGAATGTGGCCTCTGCCAAGAGGGGTCTCCTCTCCATTAGCAGGTGGGGTGCCAAGCTGACGCTGTCTCTTCTCCCTTGTCCAGGTGGTTGTCCAACAAGCAGAGGCATGAGCTGGGCCCAAGCCATCATGCTAGCTCGGGGCCTCTCTCGGGGCTGGAGAGGCATCTGTGGTGCTGCCCTCACGGGAGCCCCCTTCTCTCAGGTAACTGCCAACCAAGCAGTCATCAGGGTGGAGGGAGGGACAGACGGAGGCAGGCAGGCTTAGGATTTGTTCCCAAGCCCTTCAGAATCCACCCAGTGAAGCCAGCTGGGGGGCGAGAGGAGGGGGGGGCAGGGGCGCGTGTCTGGGCTGGCCTGTCTGCTCTGAGGGCCAATTGAATGTTTCTTATTTATTTTAAAAAGTGCTGGTGCCCAGAGGTATGAGAGGGAATTTGAAAATAAGGATGTATGAGCCAACCAGATTTGAGTGGTGACTCTGGATACCTCCTACATCCACCTATAAGGATGTGGGCAGAAAATTGAACTTCCATCCCTTATCCAAAGTGATGACCCAAGGCAATCAGTGGCCATAGATTGAAACAACAATGATGATGGTGGTGATACTGTTAAAAGCTCTCTTACTGAGCCCTTTCTCTGTGCCAGGCCCTTTGCTATGCATTTAATTTAGATGATCTCCTTTGCGGTTACACTTCTTTTGGGTATTCTAGAGCTTCCTTTTCGATTTTTTCCTTATGCACATACCCCTTGTAGTACTATTTGCCTACACTTTCACTTTAAATGAATGTCTGTTTATTTGTTTTGCATCACCTTATGTAAGCAAGACTTCAGGATGGCTGTGGGGGCAGCAGAGAAGAGACTGCAGGCCCAGCTCTGCTGCTCGGCAGCTGTGTTACACCAGGCGTCCCACTGCACCCCACCGGGCCTCAGTTACACCAGGCGTCCCACTGCACCCCACCGGGCCTCAGTTACACCAGGCGTCCCACTGCACCCCACCAGGCCTCAGTTACACCAGGCGTCCCACTGCACCCCACCGGGCCTCAGTTACACCAGGCGTCCCACTGCACCCCACCGGGCCTCAGTTACACCAGGCGTCCCACTGCACCCCACTGGGCCTCAGTTTCTTCATCTGTCCCACTGCACCCCACCGGGCCTCAGTTACACCAGGCGTCCCACTGCACCCCACCGGGCCTCAGTTACACCAGGCGTCCCACTGCACCCCACTGGGCCTCAGTTTCTTCATCTGTAAAAGGGTACAGTCAGTACTCAACAATGCCCGGAACATAAGAATACTCAGTAAACATTCAGTTCAAATTAAAATAAGAAATTGGTTGTTTATCATCTAAAGCAGGGTTCGGCACAATTTTTTGTAAAGGGTCATAGAGTAAATATTTTTGGCTTTGCAGGACACACAAGCTTCATCACAGCTATTCAACTCTGTCACAAGCCAGACATAATGAATGAGCATGGCTGTGTTCCAATAAAACTTTACTGACAAATGTAGGCAGCTGTCCACTGTTGAATCCCTGTAAATTATTCTTTATTTCAGTTAGTGTATGCTTAATTTCTGACTGGTCCTTTTCCATGTCTTTGACATTCTCACTAAGATCCTTGAAAGTCTCATGAAGATCCTTGAGTAACCTTATAACCATGGTTTTGAACTCTGTATCCAGTAGTTTGCTTTCTTCCATTTCTTTCATTTGTGACATGTTTCTTTGCCTCTGCATTTTGGAGAGCTGCTATGTCTCCTGGAGTTGGTAGAGTGGCCTTGTGTAGTGGGTGTCCTATAGGACCCAGTGGCTTAGCCTCCCCAGTGACCTGATCTGGTCATCTAGGTGCGCCCATGTGGGCTGTGTGTATAGCCTTGTTGTAGTTGAGCCTTGATTCCTGTTGGCGTCACTGGGAGGAGTTGACCTCCAGGCCAATTGGCTGTGGGAACCAGCTGCGACTACAGTGGGAGAGCTGCTGTGCAGGAGACACCCCTGTGGAGCAGGACTTGATTCAGTGGGGCTTTGGTGCTCACTGAGTCTGCCTCTTGAGTGTGTCGCTTATGGATGTGTAGAGTTGTAATCTGTATGGTCAGAGCTGTCTACTGGGTGCACTGGCTTTGGGGCTCCCAGGCTGGGGCCACCTGGCAGGAGCTAGAGAGAGATCTGCAGATTCCTCCTATTTGTATTGGGTTTGCAAGTGCCCAGGCGAGGCCCAGCTGTGAAGCAAGGCAGACTGGTGCTGGTGCTGAGGCTTGGGCCTTTTATTGATAGGTATGGGGCACTCTGACACCAGCTATGGCTTGTTTGAGATATTTCAGCAGAGTTTAAGCCTGAGCCAGGACAGGCCATTCATGTGGAAAAGCTGATGCCAACAGCTTGGGTAGGGCTGCCAATTGGATGGAGCCAGGTCTCAGGGAATCACCATGGTGAAGCAAACAGTGTTGGGGACTCAGATATGGTTGCCAGTCAGCCCTGGGACGGGGGAGGTCTTGGCATAGGAATAATGACCCCTGTGAGCACCTCCATCTGATAGAAGATGCCAGACAATCCAGTTCCTCCCCATATATATCTGGGTCCCCCAAAGCCTCCTGGCACTGGAGCTCAGAGGTATCGAATCCAAGTAAGTTCATGCCCTGCCCATTTAAGAGGGACATCTGGGTCTCCTGCAGCCTCCGTGTCCCTCAGCCACAATCCCTGCTGGTTTTTACAGCTCAAAGTTACAGGGACTTCTCTTCCGAGCTCTGGGACCCTGAGTCGGGGGGTCTGGTGTTGAGCTGGGACCCTTTGCTCCTCACAGCGGCCTCTGCAGGGATGATCTCCCTCTGGATTAAAAAAACGCCACATGTGGGTGTTGGACCAGCCCATTCCTTGCCTCCATCCCTCCTACCAGTCTCATCGTGCTTTCTTCTTTACTCTCTAGTTGTAGGACTTCCATTCAACCAGCTTTTAGGCGGTTCTGAATGATGGTTCTGTATTTTAGTTATAATTTTGATATGGTTGTGGGAGACAGTGAGTGCCAGCATTTACCTTTGCCGCCATCTTGGTTCCTCCCAAAATTCTAAAAGTTCTGAGGCTGCATCACGACAAGGGTCTGTCTTCCTGTCTGGCCACCACTTAGCTCTAGAGCAGCGGTTCTCAACCTGTGGGTCGCGACCCCTTTGGGGGTCGAACGACCCTTTCACAGGGGCCGCCTAAGACCATCAGAAAACACATATATTACGTATTGTTTTTGTGATTAATCACTATGCTTTAATTATGTTCAATTTGTAACAATGAAAATACATCCTGCTTATCAGATATTTACATTACGATTCATAACAGTAGCAAAATTACAATTATGAAGTAGCAACGAAAATAATTTTATGGTTGGGGGTCACCCCAACACGAGGAACTGTATTAAAGGGTTGCGGCATTAGGAAGGTTGAGAACCACTGCTCTAGAGGCAAGAGATTTTACGTGTTTATTATATTTCCTCCCAAACATATTTCATAGATGCAAAGTATGTATATCCATATAGTCACTTCTCATTACTCACAGTATTATGGTCTATAAAATTGCTGCATACATTGAATTAGCGATTACTAAACCTTTGCTCCCAGGTGAAGTATGAGGTAGGGTTCCTGTGAGCCTCTTGTCACATTTTCCTCAACCAATCATTACGTAACCTTATTGTATGCATATTTCTGTTTAAAGGGACCTTATTTAATATATAGTTGATTAATTAACATTGAACTCACAATCAACAGCACTATAACTTATGCCTAAATGAAGCTTATCTACCACGTGTTTTTTCTGTAAGCAACAGCAGAGCCTTCTTGTATGTAGGAGTGCTAAGCAGCACTCTGTGCCATGTTTGGGGACCATTTTCAGTAGCAAAATCACCAACAAAAAGATGTGAGAAACATGCACTAAGTAAGCCTCTGAACGGACACGTGACAGTATGAGAGCCAAGACAAGAAGGCAGAGCATCATCTTGTTCAACCTCAGCCACTTGGGGATTACACATCAATTTTAGCAAGTAGGCAAATTCGGAAATACGGAATCCACAAATAATGATGATCTACTGTATGTAAGTTTGGGGATTTTTTAAATATATATTTTTATTGATTTTAGAGAGGAAGGGAGAGGGATAGAGAGATAGAAACATCAATGATGAGAGAGAATCATTGATAGGCTGCATCCTGCATGTCCCCTACTGGGGATCAAGCCCGCAACCCAGGCATGTGCCCTTGGCCAGAATGGAACCTGGGACCCTTCAGTCCGCAGGCCAACGCTCTATCCACTGAGGCAAACCGGCTAGGGCGGGGATTTTTTTTTTTTTTTTATGCATATGGGAACCTACTCTAAACAGTTTCACACTCTGCTTTTTTTAATTTAATGATATACCTTGAAGATCACCCAAGTAACACAAGACCTCTTCAGTGTCTTAGAGCAGCAGATGTGCTTCTTGTCCAAGTTCATAGCCATTTGCTTTATCATTTCCTTGCTGATGCACATTGGGGCCATTTCCACTGACAGCGGATGCACAGTCATGTGGTGCAGGTGTGTTTAGAGATGTCAGATTTAAATATCAGGTGCAGGACTGCTGTGACAGAAGGGGTGTGTTTGTCCTCGTGAATATTGTCAAATTGTCTCCGAGGAGGTTTTCCCATTGTGTTCTCATAGTCTGTGATGGTGGTTGATCTTGGATTTGGAACCACAGCTTACCTCCTCAGAAGCCTTTAGGGATGCCCACTGGCATCTTTCCCAGGAAAGAGCAAGCCTGGCATTCCCTGAGGGGCACTGGGAGGTAGCAGATTCCAGCAGTGGTTCTCTGTCCCCAGGTACCCTCCCAGGTCCCTCGAGGCCTCCACTGCAGTGTAGCCACCCACAGCTCTGACTCATCTCTGGTCCCGAGGCCACCTGAGCCCCTGCGGCAGCCTGCCAAGCCCCTGTCACCCCACGAAGAGCTGTTTAGGCCGGCGCCAGATGGGGCCCGGAACAAAGCCAGCTTTGTGCGAGCTGTGCAGAACTTTGGGCAGCACAACGTGCACAAGCGGGGCCACGTCGACTTCATCTACCTTGCCCTGCGCAAGATGCGGGACTACGGCGTTGAAAAGGACCTGGCTGTCTACAACCTGCTGCTTGACGTCTTCCCCAAGGAGGTCTTCCGGCCTCGCAACGTCTTCCAGAAAATCTTCGTCCACTACCCACGGCAGCAGGAGTGCGGGCTTGCTGTCCTGGAGCAGATGGAGAACCACGGTGAGGCCAGCAGGCTCCGGGTGGGGGAGTGGCTGCCTCCCACTGCTGGGTCTGGGCCCCTACATCCCTCTGTGGCTCTGATGTGTGTCCTCTCTGTCTGCCTGCTCCCCTCCCCCGTCTCTCTCAAATCTCTCTTTGGCTCTCATCGCTTTCCTCTCTCCCTCTGACTTTTCCTTTAAATTCTCTCGGATTCTGTTCTCTGGCATCAATTCCCTGACTTCTATTCTCCCTGTTTCTTGCCCTTTCCATCTGGTCCTTGCCATAATTTCCTCTTGGTCCCGGGCTCCTCTACGGCCTCTGTCTCCCATGTCTCCCCTCTCTGCCCCCTCCCTGAGGCTTTGCTGCCATCCACCTGGCACAGGGGTGATGCCCAACAAGGAGACCGAGTTCCTGCTGGTTCAGATATTTGGGCGCAAAAGCTACCCCATGCTCAAGTTCGTGCGCATGAAGCTGTGGTTCTCCCGCTTCAAGAACATCAACCCCTTCCCTGTGCCCCGGGACCTGCCCAAGGACCCTGTGGACCTGGCCATGTTGGGCCTGCGACACATAGAGCCTGACCTCAGCGCCAGGGTCACCGTCTACCAGGTATTCACCCCTGTCCATTCCACCCTGGGCTGGGCTCCCCCTTTACTCACTCCTTACCGCAGCTTGACCTCTGACCTCTGCTCCTACTCCCCTCCCCACATGCACTATAATCCAGGCATCTGCCTTCCTTTCTGTTCCTTGAGCAACCTGCCTGTTCCCTCCTTGGGTCTTTACACTTTACACTCGCTGTTTCCTCGGTCAGGAACACTCTTCCCTGGGGACTTCACATTCTTCCCGTCTCAACAGCACTGTCTCTTCCTCAGGGTCCCCTTCCTGACCACCATGTCGTACTGAGTTTGGTTGCTCAATCACTGACTCAGTTTCCCCTGTGTCTCCCAAGGTCCAGCCCAGGGTCTGTCACAAAGCTCAGCAGTTGTTTGTTGAATGGCCGAATGAAATATTCTATATCCCCCCCATGTCCTGAGGGCCCCACTCATGCTAGGTCACACAGGATCCAAAGAGAGCCCTCACAGCATTGGTCTGGTCATGGAGGCCAACCCTGGATAACAGCTTCCCTCAGAGCCACTGGTTCTAAGATAGAGAAGCCCTGGGGGCCATGGTAGCCCAGAAGGGGCAGGGAACCAGGAGGGCTTCTTGGAGGAGGTGAAGGTGAGCTTGGCTTAGGCAGGACAGGAGAGGCGAGAGTATTCCAGGCAGAGGGACCAGCATGGGGCAGGCTTTAAGGTCAGGGAGATGCTGAAAGTCTTCCTTTGGTGCAGAGGCGCTGGGTTGGGGAGAAGAGGCCAGGAGGACGATGGGTTAAAGAGCTTGTTTTTGAACCTGTTGGTGAGGAGAGAGCCTGGAGGAGGGATGGTGTGGATGTCATGTTTCTGGAAGGAGTTGCAATTTCAAAAGTGCCCTCTAGCAGCCATGTGGATGGAATTGGGTAGTTGGGGGAGAAGACAAAGGGAGTAGGATAGTGGGTGATGCAGCATCCAAGTGAGAGAGGACAGAGGTAGTTTTTAACTCGTTTCTTAATTTTTTAAAGTAATGCAATAAAAAGCCGAACAGTAAACAAGAACACAGTGAAGAGTTCTCTCCTTTCCTGCTCTTTAGCCCGTCTCCCGCAGAGGAATTCACTTCCATGTCCCCTTCCAGAGAGATCCTGTGTGTTTGCAAGCAGATATATCTTTTTGCATATACTGTGTACAGAAATATTCCATTTCCCCCTGCCTCATTATGAAAAATACATACAGAAAGGTGGAAAGCATGACAAAATCACTGACACTACCCAGATTTAGAATGGAAACAATCCAAGTAGCCATTAAGAGCAAATTGTGCATGCAGACTGTGGCACCTCAGTCAGAGATTTGGGAGAAAGGCAAAGTGAAAGGATGGAGTATGCACAGTGGTAGAGTCCGCCGTCTTCAGTGAGAGAGAGGGGATATAAAAGTGCATATACCTATTTGCCTATTTTGACAAAGATAAGTCAGAAATGGGTAGAAATGATCATCTCTGGGCAGGCGAGGAGATGGGGTAGAGAACTGGAATGGAAGAGAGACGTGGATCTATTTAATATGGATTGGCTTTTTACCTATGCAAATGTGTAAAAATAAAATTTAAAAAGGGGGGGGGAACTACCAAAATTGGAAACAAAAATGGATATAGCTAAATATCTAATTGATAGCATAACTTAGAAGAGAAAAAAAATCTTCTCAGTCACTGTCATCTGACTGTCCATCTTTAGTGGCATGTATTCTAAGAAACAAGATCAGCAGAGAAATCCTGAACTTGATCCCATAGCATTATGGTAGTAGTAATGTCAAAACTATTTATGTAAAAAAAAAAAAAAACACTATATATTGATGGGCAAGTCAAATAAGTGCATGTATTACTGCTGATAGGAACCAAGATTTTTAGCATGAGAGAAAAAGATATATAATCAAATGTTATTTTTTAAAAACTCCATGGTGGTAAATTTTGAATTTTTTTTAATTGATTTTAGAGAGAGGAGGGAGGAAGGGAAAAAGAGAGAGAAACATCTATTTGCTGTTCTACTTATTTATGCATTCATTGGTTGAGTCTTATATATGCTCTGACCAGGAATCAAACCCCCTTTACCTTAGCATATTGAGACAGCTCTAACTAACTGAGCTACCTAGCCAGGCATGATGTTAAATTTGAAATGAAAAATCAGTATAAATACAGTCAAACCTTGTTCCTTGTATGTCTCCCATCTCGAACAATTTGATTCTCAATCTAGTTGTTCATAGAAAAAATGTCTCGATTGTTGAACGAAACTTCGAACCAAACTTTGGTTTTTGACCTGACAGTCCTTTCATGCTATTACCTCATCATGACAAAAAGCATCTCTCGGGCAACAAACAAAGGAGAAAATGCAACAATTTTAGCACAATTTTAAAACATAAAGAGGCCATCAAGAGAGCTAATGTTGCTAAGGGTGCGAAAGAAACAAGGATCACAAGCAATTGAAGAGATAGGAAAACTGTTGATTTGGATAACCAAAAAGCAATTAGCCAGTCACCGCATTTCAGAGGCCGTGATATATGAACAAGCAAAGATGCTGCATGCTGACTACTTAAAAGACACCCCTGGAACAAGTGCTGAAAGTGACTCCTTTAAACCTAGTAGGGAGTGGTTCGAAAAGTTTAAGAAAAGTAGTGTTTATTTATAGATTAAACAGTACATTAGACATGTACTGTATACAAGAAAGGTTAAAACAGAATCATTTAGGGTTCTGGAACAGATTAATTCAATTTTCAAACAACAGCTTCTCAAACAGCCTTCTGGAATGAATTGAGTTCTAGAACCAAGGTCCCACTGTATGTTGTCCAGTAAAAGGGTCCAAGAGTAAAACATTTACTTTTTCCACCCCCAAAAAACACTTTTAAAAGCATTTCTCCTGCCCAGGAGTATAGCTCAGTTGGTTGAGCATCGACCCATGCACCAAGAGGTTGCTGGTTCAGTTTCCAGTCAGGGCACATATCTGATTTGCAGGCTCAATTCCCAGGCAGCCGATGTTTCTCTCCCCCACTCCCTCTAAAACTAAAAAAAAAATAAAAATAATAAAATAAACTTAAAAAAAATTTCTCCTAAAGGGGGTCAACTATATGGTGATGAAAGATTGGACTTTGGGTAGTAAACAGATGATGTATCACAGAATTGTACACTTGAAACCTATATAATTTTATCAATGTCACTCAATAAATATAATAAAAAAAGTGTTTCTCCAGTGGCAGAGCATTACACACTTTCTGCATCTTCTTGCCTTTTGCCGATTTCACTTAATAATACGCTTGGTGGTTCTTCTATGTTTGTGCCCACGGATCCAATGAATTTTTAACCCGAAAGGATGGATGATGTGTGCCAACAATTGCCTACTCTCAGATACTTTAGTCAAAGCATATGTGCCCTTTTTTTGGTTTGTTTATCCTCACCTGAGGATATTTTTCCATTGATATTTTAAAGTGAAAGAGAGGGGGAAAGACAGAGAAACATCGATGTGAGAGACACACATTGATTGGTTGCCTCCTGCACACTCCTGACCAGGGCCTGGGCTGGGGAGGAGCTTGCAACCAAGGTACGTGCCCTTGACCAGAATCGAACCGGGACCCTTCGGGCGGCAGGCTAATGCTCAATCCACTGAGCCAAACCAGTTAGGGCTGCTCTTGGCATTTTAGAACCACCTGAAGTGAGTGCTGTTATTACCCCTATTTGAATGGGAGAAACTAAGGCACAGGTACAGCGAGTTGGCCATGGTCACACAGCCCGTGGCAGAGCCCAGATTTTAATGCAGGTGGGTGGCCTCCAGGGTTCCAGCTGTGTGAGCATCTGAAACGTTAGTGGCTGAATTGGATACAAGTGAGGAGGGGTTAGGCTTGAGTGACATGTAGGAGGTCCAGAATTCACTGGGGACTCCCCTTCCCCATTTCTCCCCAGTTCCTCTGTAGGGGCTGGAGGCCAAAAGCTTCCACTCCTATTCTTTTTTGCAGATGGCTTCATCCAAAGACTCCACAGGTACAGCAGATCCCACCGAGCAGCATATTGTAGGTAAGGCCCTGCGTATAGAGCAGCTGGGTTCTCACTGGGGCTGCGGGGTGGGCTCCCTGGGCCTTTGGACTCAGCCAAGGCCCCTTGGGTATGGATGTTGCCACACCAGGTATCCAGAGTCCTGATCAGCAGGCTGCCCTGGCCCGCCACAACCCCGCCCGGCCTCTCTTCGTCGAGGGCCCCTTCTCCCTGTGGCTTCGCGACAAATGTGTCTACTACCACATCCTCAGAGCAGACTTGGTGCCCCCTGAGGAGAGGGTAAGGGCCCAAATGGTGAGGGGTGGGCTGGCACTGCCCTGAGGGCTGGTGAGGGCTCACAGATTGGGGTGGGGGTGACAGTTTCTGGTGATGGTAGGGGGGAGGCTGCAAGATCCTGAGCCTCTGACTCTGTCTGTACCCCCCGCCCCTTCCTGGGGTAGGAAGTGGAGGAGATTCCAGAGGAATGGAACCTCTACTACCCGATACAGCTGGACCTGAAGTACGGGAGAGGCGGCTGGGATGACTACGAGTTTGACATCGATGAAGGTAAGAAGTGGGATGAGCAGGACTCCAGATACAGCATGGGATGAAGTGTGGCCTGTGGGGTTGAGGCAGACCTAGCAGGTGCCCAAATACACACACACCTGAGGGGCTCCGGGCCTGTCATTTCTCCATCATGGAGCGCCTCTGTGCTGGTTACCCAGTGTGACCAGGGCAGGGCCAGAGGGGGAACAGGCAAGTTATATTCTGGGAAGGAGCAGGTGGGAAGCGGGAGGACTTCCCGGTGGAATCTGGAAGAACCAGGAGGCATCACACAGGTGAGCATGGGATGGGCAGTTGAGGCAGAGTGCATACCCTGTGCGAAGACTTGGATACACAAGAAAACCAAAAGGGAGCTTCCAGTCCCTGCCCTTGGCCGGGAAGGGTGTGGGCTACAGTCCCCCCTGCACAAACTGAGGGCCTGTCTCTCCCAACAGTGGAAGAAGGCCCTGTCTTCGCCATGTGTATGGCAGGTGCCCACGACCAGGCTACACTGGCCAAGTGGATCCAGGGCCTGCAGGAGACCAACCCCGCCCTGGCCCAGATCCCCGTGATCTTCCGCCTGACAGGGTCCACTGGGGAGCTCCTGGCGTCCTCCTCAGGACTGGAGGAGCCCTCCCCGCCACCACCCCAAGAGCAGGAAGAAGAGGAAGACCATACGCAGCGACAGCAGCGGGGCCAGAGCTGAGGCCCGAGCGGGCTCCGGGGCACGGGCCTGGACTGGTGTGGAAGCATGAGATGACCTTTGAATGTACAGCAAATAAAAGTTTCCTGGCTGAGGGCTGCCTTCCCTCCTATCCGGCGGTGGGGCATCCCTGCCCTTTTAGTGCCTGGTGGCAGGGCTTTTCAAGGGCTCTCCGGGTCCAGGACTGACAGGTCAGATCCCTGGCCTCCCCTCTGCCTTCACCTGAAACTCCCACCCTCACGCGTCATCGCCCGCAGGCGTTCAGGATCAAGACGCAGAAGTCCCACCCCCAAGGTCTAGGGGTCATCAGCCTCTTTCTTACGGGGCTGCCCTCAAACCTTGAGCTCCTCCCTCCATCTCTATGAAGTGAGAAGTTGAACAGGAAGATTAGGTTGTCGCGCATGCTTGTTGGGCGCATGCGCAATTTCCTCTCGGTCTCTCTTTGGCGCTGCGGGGGCAGTGAGTCCAAGAGAAATTTCCCGGCGGCGCGGAAGATGCGCGCCACTTCCGGCCGGGCTCCTAACAACGGGGGAGGCTGGTAACCAGGGAGGGGGGGATGGCGGAGCGGGCGCCCGAGGCGGAGGCGGAGGCTGAGGCGGGCGCAGGCGGGGAGGCTGCGGCCGAGGAGGGCGCGGCGGGCCGCAAGGCGCGGGGCCGGCCGCGGCTCACGGAGTCGGACCGGGCCCGGCGGCGACTCGAGTCCCGGAAGAAGTACGACGTGAGGCGCGTGTACCTGGGCGAGGCGCACGGGCCCTGGGTGGACCTGCGGCGCCGCAGTGGCTGGAGCGACGCCAAGCTCGCCGCCTACCTCATCTCGCTGGAGCGCGGCCAGCGGAGCGGTCGGCACGGGTGAGGGGCCTCAGCCCGAGGGAGAGAGGGCGGGAGGGAGGGAGACGCCCCCATCCCCCGCTGAGCCTGGTCCCGCCCCCTCCGCCCAGGCTCTGCCCCTGGCACCTCTGAGCTCCGCCCAGCGGCCCGGCCTGGGTCTCCGACTACCGGTCCTGGGACGTGCCTCGCTCGAGCCCCGCCTCCCGTCGCTCTGACCGCCCAATCCTAGGATGCGTCCAGCCTCAACCCGCCTCCTGGGCCTTTGGCCCCGCCCTCTAAGCGCTGGCTGACCAATCCTGGTACGGGCTCCACCTCCAAGCGTTCTAACTGTGCAGTCCCTAGAGGAGCGGCCCCGCCTCCTGAGCCTCAGTGGCCAGAGGTCCCGACTGTCCCCGGTGTTTCCCAGGCCTCGTCCCCTACAAGGTAGCCTGAGGCTGGACTGCGTGACTGCACACCTGGGCCACCCAGCCCTGCCTGTCATGAGGCTCCGACGCCCCAGCTGGGACAGAGTGGTGCCATCCCACAATCCTAGACCCCACCTACCTTGAGGACCCTCACAATCCAGATCGCATTCCCCTAAAGCTCTTGGCTCCTGAGGAGCAGTCAGCCCAGGGAGACTCAGGTGAAGAGGAAGCCCTGAGTTAGCCACACAGGTGGCGGGCAGAGGCCTTTGCAGTCTCAATTTTGAGATGAGCAGTGTTGGTGGAATTTGTCGCTTCCAGCCTTATAGGTTGATGTGATGATTAAATGAGTTAAACTACAGCAAAGGCCTTAGACAGTGCCGGCACTTAGCATTCCAGGTATTACCTGTTAGGATGATGTTTGTTCTGTATTACAAGCAGTTCTGTGACAAAATCCTTGTTCTGCCCAGTTTTTATTTGCACGCATTTGCATGTTTCTCCTGGGGAGGCGAGATTCTGAGGGTCAAGAAACAACCTGCCTCCTGCTGAAATTGTACCCACCTCTTCTTAGGGTGGCAGGCTGGTTTATGTGCCCGAGAGCAGGGCAGGAAATGCTGGTGCTTAAAACATCTCAAGCCAGTGTTCCACTATTGGAATTTCTGATTCATTTAGTCTGATGGAGCTGCAGACCCTGTGTTTTTTTATGCAAAGCTTCCAAGGAGACTTGATGAGCAGCTGGAGAACCACTGGCCAGAGGGAGCCCTAAGCTGAAAGTGGTATTTGCGGAAACTTGGTTTGGCTGAGCAGGAGCTGTGTGTGCAGGACTAGGGCGGGGGCACTGAGACAACCCAGGCAGTGTGTGGCAAAAACTTAAACCCAGGGCCATGGGTAGTTGGGAAAATACACTAACCTGGGTGAAGG